TAATGCTAGGAGTTAAAGAACTCCTAAAAGCATCACAAACTCTTCCTCTAGTGCTAAATGCCAATTCGAAGGAACGATAGATATTGGAACTGCTAACACATCACGAGCCATTTGTGAAAGAATGAAAAATCGAAGAGAATATTTTTTCCACCACTCCAAAATATCAAATTCATCATCACCAATTTCGGCCAATTCACGAAGATACTTATCCAACTCTAATCTATTATCTCCATCTTCACTTTCATTGAATTTTTGAAATCGTGACATCCTTGTAATTGTTTTTTTTTTCTTTTTGTCATCTATTACATCACTTACACTTGAAACTTCTATAATCCCACTATTTTAACCATGATTTCTAAGTAAATTACAATACGAAGTGTACGGGGCATATGTAGATTCTCTCACATCATTTGTCACTTTTTCTCTAAGCCAATCACCATGCAATTCATTTAATATAAATGCAACATAAATAAGTTTATATGTTGGATCAAGTACAACCCCGATATAAATAAACTTATTCGTTTTCTTCATGTCCCCCCCAAATACTTATCAAACTTTTCTCTCATTTTACTAGCAATTAAACAAGTATCATGATCAGCACTTTCTAGCCCTTCTCTCAATTCAACTTCAAACGTACAAATTTCATCAAAATAATTATTAAAAGTGACATATGAATGATCAAAATAGAGAAAGTTCATAGAAAATTTTCAATAGTGTCACCATCTTCCTACAAGTCTTCCAATCTTCGACAATTAGGTGGCCAAAAATCCCATTACCAAGATCCACATTAAGTTCAATAATATATAAAAGATCAATTTACTCATATCTCTTAAAAGCTCTCTTAAACTTTTGAGCTAAATCTAACATCAAACAAGTTGAATTCCATCTATTTGAAGCATTTAGATGTGACAAACTTTTAGAATCAATCTTTTCAATCTCTATGCATTCCTTAAATTTTCTTAACCTAGCAAGAGATTGTCCAATATACCTCATGGTCGTGTAAGCACGAATGATCGAAGGATTTACATTTTTTAACCTATCGAAATAATAAGATTCAAAATATGAGTCATACACCTTATATGAAGTAATTCTTTATCTAAGATGCTATGACCCCAATTGTTAAAAACATCTCTCAAGTATTTAATCACCACATCATTTAAACTTGATTTTTTATAGTAATAGTGAAAACCTTTTCAATTTCCCAATCAATTAAGCACTTTTCAATAGCACTACCCAAATCAACACCACTTAAGACCATTAACAAAAAAAAAAAAATTCAAAATCTTTTTATGCAACTTTAAATCATTATCAATAAAATGAGTTGTTAAACACATATAATTAATTCTTTGAATAAATGTCCATGTGTCACGTAGCGAGACAAACTCTTTGACAATTATTTTTCAAAAATTGCTTCAACTTTAATTCTCATACATATAAAGTTGGTAATAATCTCTTGAAATAGTAATCCATGATGGAATTTTAAACCTAGGTTTTGCAATTGATATAAACCATTTAATCCCCACATTCTCTATGAATTTGAAAAGGAGTTCATCCACAATAATCATGTAAGCTAAAGCATTTGTAACGTAATTTTGAGCAAACTTCCATGTGCTAAGAGTGTTTTCTCCCCCTCGAACATTTGAATTTGATTGAAGGTTCAATTCTATTTTGATTAGGTTGAGCATATATGGGTGTTTTTTGTATATGTTCATAAGAGATTTAAGTGCAATAGTGCCATTTGTAGTAGGATGAGCAACAAGTACCTTATCACGGTATTAACATCTCCCCTTGATATCTTAATTTTCATCTTCAAACTTGGTGAAATGGTCCCATACAATTGACCTTGGCCTCATTGCTTTTCTCTTCATCTTTGTATAGAATTATGTGTTTGATGGAGAGCCGGTAGTTGTATCTACTACTGGTTCCGGATGGGTTAAGCTTGCAACTTCAACATCGACATTCGAGGATCCCAACATCTACACAAATTCATGAATATATTTGATTAGAAATAATTATTAAATGCAAACCTATATTGAGGAAAGAAGTTTTTTATATATTTGAGTGGCATATGACATTAGAACTTAGAACTTAGAAGGAAGTTAAGGAACAACTATGGCCACTAGCCACTAGCCATTAACCAATGGGCAATAGCATTAGGTAGTGCACACTAGCCAATAGCATCGTGTACTAGACAGCGGCCACTACCTACTAGCCAATAGCACTAGGCACTAGACGGTGGCCACTCGGTCACTAGCTAGTAGCACTAGTCACTATGCAGATGGCTATTGGTCAATAGCACTAGGCACTAGATAATGGCAATGTTCTATGACTATACATGTGCTAACTTTAATCTAGCTAACCCTAACTTAAGTAGCATAAATGCATAATAATCTAGTTAACCCCAACTTTGGGCAATGTTCTATTTCTATACATGCCCAAGTTCGGTTATCAAATAAGCATAGTTGACTTGTTGTATTTGTATATAGACATATAGTTATCAAATCAAATTAGGGCAAGCTCCAAAACCAACACCAAGTTCGAGTTCGGTTTGTAATTGAGTATTACAAACTCTTGCTTTAGGTAAATCTAATTAATATGATTGAAGTCCAACTAACTCAATTGATCCAAACTAAGTGAAAAGAAAGGAAAAAAAATTTAATAAGATAATAACCTAACCAAAAGCTTGAAGAACAAAGTTCAACATAGCCTAGTTATCCGTTATCATAACTACCCATTAGCCAACCAAACTCCAAACATGATTAAAATCTTAAAAGTTTAAAACAATGTTTTATACATTACATGCTCAAGCCTATGCCTATCTACCGCCTACCGCCTACTAGAGAATAACAAGTAACAAGCAACCGAAAATGCATCCAATACAAAATTTTCATAGGACTTTAGAATCCAAGCTCGATCGATGCCCTTCCTAGGTGACAATTTTTATACCCTTTCTCTTCTAACTCTAGTACCCATAAAATTCATCCAATTCCAAAAACCAAAATGCATCCAAAAAATTAAAAATCTAAGGAAGAAAAACACAAGCATTTCGATTCACATTTATTGGATAATTATTTGGGTAAGCATGACTCACCATGAACCGAAAATTTTGAAAGCTTGATAGGCGGACTATTGGAGAAGAGCAGATTAGGGGAAGATTGAAAGAGGAGGGAGCAAGGGGTGTCTCTTGAAATATTCGAGAGACTCGTCCACACTCGATTGTCGATTGTGAAGAGGCCCAAGAGAGGGGAGGTAGTTGAGTGTTAAGGGCCGCCTAAGGACTAAGGAGGAGGAAGAAAGTGGGTAAGTGAAAAGAGGATGTAGGCATGTAGCTTATGGTTTAGGGATTACGATTTTAGGAAAATGAGCTTTCCAATTTGGGGGATGTTTATCATTTTTAGGGAGTGCAAATTTACAATTGCACTAAGCAATGGGCACTAACGGTAAGGGAGGATCGAAGGAGGAAGAAGAGTGAAGACTAAAGAGGGGAATGAGTGGAAGGATGAGGATGACCAAATGATTGATTGCGATTTGGAATTGGGGGAGGTTTTAGGTTTAGGTTTCGGAGACCGAAATTGGATTTAGCATGGGGTAGTGACTCGTCGTCGTGAGGAAAAACTAAAGGGATGATTGGATCCGGATTAGTTAGCTAGATCTTGCCATGCTAGCTTTAAAAATAATAAAAAAAAGAACCGAAGGTATATAGTAGTGCTATAAATAATTCTTGTATGAAGATGGATCCGATGGATTTTAATTTTTTTTTCATGCTTACTTGTTTTTTATGATGGGTAGTTCGGATCTTTAAGATGAATTCAAGGAGCAATTTGAATTGATTCTAGATTCATATGCTAAAGATGAATACTTAGTTATTAAAACTTGTGGTTTGGTAGCTTTTTATCTAGATAGGTTCAATTCTACTATCAATGTGAAGCTTAAGAATTTCAATTGGCTATGTGACCTTGTCAATCATTGTTAACCGTGACGGCGGTTGTGAGTCTCGTTGTGAATAAGACGTGATGGGATACATTTGCTAAAAGTAACTAAAAATTATAATATTTCATTTAGGACTACTTTAGGGAGAGGTAAGATTTTGTAGCTATATATATATATAAGTCATTAAATATGATTTTTTGTTAAAATATTATTTTTTTTCTCATTTTTTCTTATTCCTTTACATTTACTAACATTTCATTTTTTAATTTTAATTATTAATCAATAAACCTAATAACTTTTTATTCTTTTGAAAATTCTAAAACGAGTTAGAAACAAAAATAATATAATGGATTACTTTGTTTTTTGTATTTTCATTTATTATTATTATTATTCAATTTCTTTAATATTTTAAAATGGTTAAAATATAGCAAAATTAAACTTTCTAAAACAAAAAATTATGTCAATAGACAATAGAAGAAATATATTAAATAAATTAATTTAATAAAAGGACTCCATTCACTCTTAAATTGATAAAGAGACATAGTTTATTTATTTATTATAGTATAGGAACTATATTTATCATTAACCCGGGAATTAAGAAATTATTTATTAAAAATTATAATTGCAATGAGTTATCAAAGCCCAATAGGTAGGGGTGAGTAAACGGTTCGGTTAACGTGAAAATCGAATATAACTGGACCAAATTCTGAAATTTAGTTTGATTTTGAATTTTAAATTTTACACTTTATAACCAAATTGGAAAACCAAAATTTATTTCACTTAAGTTCATTTTTAATTTTTAAATTCGATTCAAGCCAAAAATCAAAATTCATTCCTAATCTAATTCTAATTTCTAAATCCCTAACCCTAAGTTCTAACTAGCCGACGCCTCACGCTTCTATCTTCTTCCCAAATGCCCAAACCTCCTCGGCTCCTTTGGCTTCATTCCCTTCTCCTCCACTCGTCCACTCCACTCCTCCGGTCTCTAGTCTCATCTCTCACTCTCTCTTTCAACTTTATTCTCATCGTCTCACCGGTCACCGGCTCACTCGCTTTTGTCTTCTTCCCAAATGACCAAACCTCAACCTCCTTGGCTACTTCGGCTTCATTCCCTTCTCCTCCACTCTCCACCCGGTCCTCCGACCTCTAGGCTCCACTCTCCGGTTTGCTCACCCGTCACCCCTCATAAGTCGAAGTCACAAGTGCATGGGCTTAAAAAATGGAAGTACGACTCTTTTTGAGTTTGAAATTTGATTGTGTGAAATTTTTTCTAGTCGATTGTGAGTATTCAACCTATGTATATCAGCAACTTCGAGTACAACATTGCACATTTCTTTTTTGAATTTAGGAAAAAGGGTTACATGATTTGTAAGCCCCGTTGCCCTAGTAAGCTTTAAGCTCATCTAGTTCCTAATTTCATAGCATGTTGCTTATTATAAATATTTGCTACTTCGAAGCTTCGGTTGAACAATCCGGGTTCCATTTTTGTTTTTCCTAGTTTTGAGGCATGCTAGTTATTTAATGGTTGGTTTTTTTTTTTTTTAATTTGTTTCAAGCGAGGTTCAATCTGCTCTAATTTTCCATCTTTAAAATCCAAGTTAAATAATTTTGAGGCATGCTTCGATACTTCGGTTGAACAATCTGGTTCCATTTTTTAGGCATGCTAGCTATTTAATAGTTGGCTTTTTTTTATTTATTTGTTTCAAGCGAGGTTCAATCTGCTCCAATTTTCTATCTTTAAAATCCGGGTTGTCCTTTAATTGTTGATGGATAATAGGATTGGTTTCCCCGATTCTAATGAGATTAGCAATGGAAGAATGGAAGTAGCACTTGCTACATAGAAACTCTCTCAAATTCAAAGCCTTTTACACTTGAAAATTCCATGGAATTCATCAATTCAATACCTCATAACCTTTACGCAATTTATTCTTACTATTTCTTTCTTATCAAATATTATAATTTCTATAATTTTCACCCTTATATTTATAGTAACTCTTGCCTCATTAATTTTTCTTATTTTGATAAATTCGGAGTTCCAATAAACAATTTGAAAAGTGTTAAACTTCAATTAAAACAATTCAAAGAATATAATTAAACCTCGTTTCTTTTTTTAATTTTCATGTTATTATTTTTTAAGAATCTCATTTTATATATAGTAAAACGTGCCATATGTGAGAACCTCATCACAATAAAATTGTGAGCTTTATTTTAAAAGAAAAATAGTGTAATATTTAAAAATAACATAATTCTTAAAAAAGTGCAAATATAATTGTTAAAATAAAAATAAAAATAAAGGTAATGTTGAACAGTAACTAATTATCTATATTAAAGAAAAAATATGGTGCGAATGAGTAGTCTTTAGTGTTTTTTTTTTTTTTTTTTAAGAGACCCTATTTTTCCTAGTTTTTAGGAATTAAGGATTAGAACTATTAGTGACTGATCAATATTGTACATTATTGTATTTGTTTTTAATAATTGCAATCTAGATTCCTTGGTTTTCTTATTGTTTTTATTATTATCTTTAACTTATTATAATATATTTTTTATTTTTTAAAAAATGCTTCATTTTTTTTACCGTAATGAAATCTCACAAATGACACATCTTGGGCATTCAAGATAAATTTTAATAAAATAATAACATAAAAAGTAAAAGAGAAAAAAATAATTTAATCTTGTATTTTTTTTGAATTGATTTGATTGAGTTTTTTTATTATATCGATATATAGCATGTGTCATGCATTTAGAAGTGTAATCTACCACAGTAGCTCACCAACTAATTCTATTATAGCAGAGAGATGGGGAAAAAAATTTAGATGGTTTCAATATATATATATAATTTCAATTAAAATAATTGGAAAAGTACGTAGATATGTATTAACAAAACCTATTTCTGATAATTCGGTGAGATATTTAGTGTTTTGATATTACATGTCTAACAATTCAAAACTTTCAACGGATGGCATCAATAGTAGAATAGATTCCTCTAGCTTGACTCCAATGGTTCATTGGATAGAAATTTAAATAATTGACTCCAATGGTTCATTGGATAGAAATTTAAATAATGAAAAGTTAAGAACAGTACAATATTTTAAGTTGAGCTACATATGTAAATAGAGGTCACCGCTATTTGATTTGTTTTTTTTAAAAAAAATTGAACTAAACCAAACCAATTATCAATTTCGGTTTGGTTTTTTTATTTTAAATATTTTTTTAAAAAAGACTGAACTTATATATATATATATATTCTTAGTTTTTTAGTTTGGTTTAAATCAAAAACCAAATTTTTTTCTGATTTTTTAAAGTTTTTAAATAACATAAATAAATAAAAAAATTAATACCTTAATATTATTATAAATATATCATGGATTGATGGTATTTTTTTGTCTATTTAAGTTATTTTAAATTTTGAAAACAAAAATTAAACAACAACCAAAAACCATAAATTCAGTTTTTAAATTAAAAAACTAAATAGTAATTCAACTTAGATTTTTTTTTTTTTTTTTTTTTTTTTTTTTTTTTATGCTCATGATCGATTAACAAAAACCTAATCAAAATTGTGAAAAACTAAACAAAAAAATCGAATGATTATTCTTATGTAAATGTCTAGTGTATAAATAGACATGTTGCTAAGTGAATTTCTCATTAATTGATGGTTTTCACTTACAACACCAACATGCAGCTTGCATTAATGATCATCTAGCATTACATGTAGCATTACTAATATAATTGAACTAATATTATGAATATACATAAAATTAAGAAAAAAAAAATGATATAACATTTAGTCAAAGATAGATATGTGCTATTATCTGTTATTTTCAGCACTCAGGATAGGCCCATGCTGGCCCAAAAACTTTTTTTATTTTTTAATCTTTATAATTTGTTTAATTGTTTTAAAGGTTCACCAAAAGTAATTCATATTATTATTTTTCTTCTTTAAATTTTTTAAATTTTAAATTATTTTCAAGTGGTTCAGTGATGCACATCCTAATAATTGTGTTAAATGTAAATTCCTACTGCTACAACTTCCTTTGAATGCTTGTTTTAATAACATCTATTGTGATAAGAATATGTTTGCAGATTAACAAGCTAGTTATGCTTATTTTCTATAAGTTGAAATTTCGTGTCTACTAGAAGCTCCTTTTGACTGCTTGAGATTTTTATTAGATAATATTAGTGGGATTACATTTCTAGGATGATGCATTTGTAAGTTATAGGGTTTTGCCTCATTTTAATAATAATAATTATAATAAAAGATGTACGACTTAACATTTGAATTTGAGGTTGGAATCCAATATGTACTAGAAGCTCTTTAAATCAAATATAACTTATTACGGAAGTGCTTGATAATTTTTGTGCTATTTTCGGCCTAAAAATCAGTGTAGCCAAAACTTGTGTTTTCTGTTTTCTAATACCTTAAAACTTTTGGCTAAAAATATTAGCTCTATCTTAGGTTTCTCTCTGACTAATAACATAGGAAAATACCTCAGGATGTCTTTAATTCGTGGCTATATCACGAAGCAGACTTATAAACATATTGTGAATAAAGTCCAGAGGAAGCTTTCGGGATTGTAGGCTCAACACATATTTCTAACGATGAGTTGCAAAGCCATATTAAAATATTTATTTGGAGTTCAATAAAGGATTAAAAAAAAAAAAAAACCCTCATTAAGTAGGATGAAATCTAATTTGTCAACCTAAGCATCAAGAAGGCCTTGGTTTATGACCACTCAAGACCATCAATGAAGCTTTCATGATGAAATTGAGATGAAATCTAATTCATAATCGTAATGCTCTTTGAGTTAACCTTTATTGCAGCAAGTATCACCAGTTTTTTAATCCTATGCCATGTGCCTTAGTCTCTTAAAATGGATATGCCAGTTGGAAAGGTATTACTGCAGCTTAGCCCTCTGTTCTCTCAAGGAGATTGGAAGGTTTGTTAGGGATCGAACTAGAATTTATTTTTGGACCAATAATTGGGCGGCGGATGTTGGTCCTCGTATCTATCATGTCTCAGGTAATCTTCCTAATACTTTTCTTAAATCTAAATTTAGTACATATGTGACTGCATCAGGTTAGTGGTGGTGGGATAAATTTTCATCTTTGTTCTTTAATGCTATTTGTTTGTGTATTACTAGTGTGTATCCTCCCCTAGACACTTTTAAATCTTGACTTGTTTGTCCAAAATCCAACTTGTTAGAATGTTTTGAATATTGTATTATTACATATTTATTAATAAAAAAATATTTTTATTAATTCATGTTATTTATAGCTTAATTGAATTAGATAGAAGTCCACATAATTTTCATTACTTTGATGATTGATTAATAGATGTAAGACACACACACCGATGTACATAAATAAAATCATTAAATGTTTGATATTAAAATTGAACATTAACAATATGCGATAAGACTTATATTTGCTATGCTCTTTCCATAGGATAGTAGTAGGAGATCTCATACCTACTGGTATGGTGATGCCTAAGCAAGCACATAGGTGAATAATATTAGAGAACATATCATTGAACAAGACTTACCATGAGAACCCATTTGGCATAGTCTATGGGAATCTCATATGAGATGGGTACAAGTGTTTCTTTGACTTGAAGTTATTAGAGTTATCTCATTAGAGAATTGGCATACTTTAGCATTCGTTACGATGGACTTAGAAAAAAGTTGCATGAGGGCGATTCATTAGATCCATCATGAATCTAAAGGAGATAGGTAGATAACCGACATGTCATTCCTTACATGTTAAAGCGGTTATCATATTGCAATTCTATGAATATTTGTTCAAGAATCTATAGCCGCAATGAAAGTATACCAATACGAGCATGATTGGTTTACTTGAGAGTTAAGACATTCGAAGATCGAAGAAAACTTATGTGATCATTATTGAATAGGCACCAAGCTAAGTTTGAGATCACATCGTGATAAAGGACCGAATTATATGAAAACCATAGTCATGAAAGATTGTTGTGAATTAAGTAATCCTTCTTGATAATTGGGAAGTCATGATGTCTTATTAAAGGTCAATCTTAACTTATATATCAAGAGGTAAAAGAATTATCTTTTACTTTTTGATACATTGATAATACATCTAGAAGCTTATTGAGTCATACTTATAAGCTTGACATTGACTTGGATAAAGAGAAGCGAAGAATTATGATAGAAAATAGGAATTGAAATAATGGATTTCAATTCTTTAAAGCACTAAAACAATTTTGAAAATAGTTTCCTAAATTGGATTTCCTATAATTCAAGAAATGGTTTCCTAATATTGAGTTTCCTAATTAGATAAGGGTAGTTTAGAAAATAGTTTCCTAAATTGAGCCTTCCTAAAATATTTGATCTAGGTTATTTGGATGGTCAATTGAATTATTGAGTCATTCGACCAAATGTGTTTGGGTCAATAGGCTTAAGTGGAAGCCTATAAGGAGTATTTTAAGTGAAGGGGTATTTTTTAGAACTTTTAGAGAAAAGTTCATTAAACCTAATACAAGGTTTATAAATAGAAAAAGATGCATCAAGCCATATAACTCAATCACGGAGAAAGTTGGCCGAAATTCCTTAGAGAGAGAGTGAGATGTACGTAATCTTCTTTACATAAAGAAAATTGCACAATTTTCCTTACAAAAATAATTTGGTGCTCAATCTTCATAGCATAAAGAAATTAAACCTAGCACTCTTGTTTTTCTTTCGTTTCTTTATGTTGGTGTTTAAACTATGTCGATTTTCACTAAAGACTAGACAACGGGATGGTTCAATCCACTACCTTGATACTACACTTCAAGAAGTAATGATTTAAATGATTTACTAATATAATTAGTTGATTCAATGATGATCTTTGGAGTTTAGATAGAGGAATATATATATATATTTTTTATTTATTCTACTCCTTCGTAGGATGTTTTTCCTTCATTTGGTATCGAGTCCACATTGAATTTTTGATTTTATTATTATTAATTGAGATTTACTATGATTAATTATGATTAGTTGTGATTATAAATATATAATTTTTGTGTTTTATAAAAGGAAAAATAATTTTTTAGAACAAGAGAGACATACATGTGTTAGGCCGACACTGGGCGTTGGCCAATAGGCTTGCTAGGCTAATATTGGGCATGAGCTAGTGTGTGTGCCAAGCCAATGCTTGGATGCTTGGCTAGATGGTTGTGTCAAGTGGGCGGGCTAGGCCAACCCGGGCATTGGCCACAAGCCTATGCCGGTGAACACGCTAAGCCAAAGCTAGACGTTGGCCGGTTCATGCACTAAGGCTCACTAAGCATTGGCGGTAGGCACGCCAAGGCATGAATCCCGGCCTATGCTAGGTGCAAGGTCAAGCTATAGCTTGCCTAAGCTAGCCGATGAGGCCTTAAAGGCCCAAGACCCAAGGTACAAAAAAGTAAATTTGAGAAATTTTATGTCTTTTTTAGAAAATAACCAAAAAATAATAAATTATAATTATTATAAAATGAAAATGTTTTATTAGTTGTATAATGTGTATCAATGTGATTGAAGCATGAGTGAATGATATGAATGTGTCGATCTAGCTTTGAGGAATGTATACTTGTAATTGTTTTTGTTGAATAGGACATGCTAGTCCTACCTTTTCTATTAATCTTATGTATCTTCTTTTCTCATCTCATTCTCCTTGGATGTAACTCAAGATTTATGATTCAAAAATTATAAAATTAAAAAATAGATTAGTAAAATAGGTATATGAGAAGATGCCAAGAAAAGAGACGAGATTCAAATCCAAATGAAGATTTAAAAGTTCTTCTCATTTAGGTTTCGACCCACTAGTCTCATTCGGCTCGAGGAGACTAGCTATAGAAATCTATTATCATTCATCGATCCTTGTGTCATATATGTGTAATATGCATGATTGATTTGATTGAACTCTAGAATGCATGATAGGATTAATTTGATTAATTAAATGATAAGACCTATTAAATGAAAATCCTTCACACAAATATTAAGTTATTTGTCTTTCAAAATTATGAGGAGAAAACTCTTGATCATTGTTGACTTGTTAAGATAAGTAAAGGTCAATTCTTTCTTAAGGGCATCAAATCATAGGCCATGTAATCGTTAGTGTTGGTGCCCAAGATCCAACCATGTTTAGATAGGCTCATATTAATGTATTATTGCATCATTTATTTTAATAATAATAAAGAAATCATTCTATTAATTCTTATGTTTACATGTTGATAAATTTACTAGAATTAGATAGAAGTCAATATGATATATTAATCAAAAGATATGAGATAAACACTAATGCATGTAAATGATATCATTATATGTCCCAAGTTATAACATTATCAAGAATAAACATTAACAAAATACGAATATACATGTGAGTGTTATGCTCATGTTAGGTGATAGCGATAGGAGATCTCACACTTATTGGCATAATGATGCCAAAGCAAGCACTTAGGCGCTTTATGTTAGAGAACATGTCACTGGACTCGACTCACCATGAGAACCCATTTGGTTTTAGTCTACGAGAATCTCATACAAGATAGGTATAAATGATCCTTAAACTTAAAGTCATCATGGTTATCTCATTGGAGGACTTATGCACTTTAACATCTCGTTTTGATGGACTCATTAATGGGTTGCACGTGGATGGTTCGTTGGGTACACTAGGAATCCAATGGAGATAGGTGTATGACTAAGATAGAATATATCATTCCTTGTATGATAAAGGAGTTATCACATTATATTTTGATAAATGTCTCGTTCAATAAATCTATGGCGACAATAGAAGTACACCAATAGAGCATAGTTGGTTTCTCTAAGAGCAAAAATATTTAGGAATCGAGGAAAACTTATGTGATCATAATCAAACAAAAATAATAACCAAGTTCAAGATCACACTTGTGATAAGTTGACATGAGGACTGAATTGTATGGTAACCATCCTCATGATAAAGTAATAATGGATTAACTAATCCTCTTAAAGAATTGGGTAGTTATGATGTCTTATTAGAGGCTAATCTTGATTCATGTATCAAGAGAGAAAAGATGAGTCTTTTATTCTTGATACATTGTCAATATATTTAGGAGCCTCGCTGAGTCACATACATAAGTATAAGTATTCGCATTACAAATGAGAAGCAAAAATATTGAAAAAGGGTTTTCAATTACAAAAGTTTCCTATTTTGGAAAGAGTTTCCAAAATGGAAAGTTTCCTAAAATGAAAGTTTTCTATTTTAGAAATTAGTTTCCTAATTTGGAAGTTAGTTTGAAATTTAGAAATAAAGAATCTAAAAGGAAAGGAGATTCCTAATTTAGGTTAAAGCATTTTTTTAAAAATTATTTCCTAATGTGGACTCGCCTAAAATGATCTAAGAATATTTATTTGGATAGTCCAAATAAATTAATTGAGCTAAAATAGTTTTAGTCCATTAGGTTTTAATTAAGAGCTTTTAGATAATTTTGATGGGAGGATAAACATCAACCTTGTTCGATAAGGTTGGATATTTTAAAGATAAACATTAACCTTATTAGATAAAATTGAATGTTTTAAAGATAATAATCAAATAGTCCACATATAAAATAACCCCTCATCCTTGGAGGATAACGAAGCAACAACCTAGAGTCCTTTATGGACTCATAGCCGCCCCTTTCCTTGTCCTTGGAGGATAAGAAAACTCTCCTATAAATATATAAGAGGGAGAGAGAAAATTTAGCTAACATAAGAAAAAAGAAAGAGAGAAAATTTTGCCGACCTCAAAGAAATACAACTAGGGCGCACGACCAAGAGTGAAAAATATGGAGAAAATAGTTTTCTTCTAAAGTATAGCAAGAAACACTCTTTCCTTCTTTTTAAATGTTGTCACAAAATTATTCGGGATTTATTTCTAACAAAAATACTTAGTCGGAAAAGGTGGAGCTATCACCCCATTAATTTTAAGAGATTCTTTGTGGATACCTAGACTCGCGTGGATCATCAATAGAGGTCGGACTCTTGGATGGCTTTACTAAAAGGAATTTAGATCTCTGCTATA